ATATATAGAAGACTTTAAAATACCCAGGTCCCAGATATTGCTAGAAATTTCACAATGAACTTCAAGTCATTGTTTAGATAGGAGTTACAGTGTAGGTTTTAGGAGTAGGAAGGGAAATAATCTTCTTCCAGCCTTTACTGTGACTGTATAACTTTAGGCTAATTTCTTAACCTTTTTAATATCCTCATTAAGAAAATGAATGTAACAATAGTAGTTCATAGAATCATTGTACTGTTTGTTATTATATATAAAGAACACTTACATGTGGGTATATGAGTAATCCTACAGTAGTTATTTTGTGAGAGACTAGACCTTATAGACATTCCTTTTGTTTCTTCATCCAGTCTAGTTTAGTGGTGGCCAAAATGGTGTGTGCCTAAGAGTTGCTGTATCTGGTTGTATTCAATTATTTTCACAGGTGATTCAATTATGTATTTGTGAGTGTTGATTTTGTGCTTTCTTTATAATATTTTATATCATAAATATATAATAGATGAGACCTCACTATTTAAAGTAAACCTGAATACAGTTCTAGGTAAATGGTAGGATAGAGACTAGATTGAGTTTTAGCTATTAATCATTCTCTTCATGCTAAAGTCAATTTATTTCTATTCCTCCAAATTAGTTGATTTTCCTATAACTCTCAGCTATTGTTTTCCTATCTGCATATGTATTTTTGTCTTTGAAGATCCATTAACTACTTTTTTTTTAGCTTTTTTGAGCCTTTTTAATTTTTTTTTTTTTACGTTTATGAGTACATCTGTGCAGTGCCCAATGATTACACTCACTGTAGGGAATTGGTACATGTACATAAAACATTTTAATTCTTTTCATTGTTTTCCTTCCACTTTCCCCAGTGTTCACTGTTTTGAAGTGGAGATACTAATGTCTGAGGATTGGGATTAGTAAATGTTATTGCTAACTAAATTAATAATACCTGACGTATACTGGACACTTAATAATTGGTGCATTGTATTATTTTGGTATTATAAAGAAGTGATTCAATATTATAGAGAAGTGTTTTGTATCAAAGTTTCATAGGATTTTATCTCACCCAGTTTTGTAAATATCTCTTGTTGCCAGACATATCTGCCAGATGGGCTAGTTATTGAGCACTATAAATATGAACTAGGTAGAAAGGCCTCTGGTATCACGAAGTTTCGATTAGGGAAAACAACACTGTCTTGTATGTTTCTTAGTAACATATCAGACTAAGTGGACTCATTTTTATTTGGGTGTCATTGAATTATTTCATTGTATGTTTGAGTAGGTTGCCATTGTTACTACTCTGTAGAAGATTCATCCTAATCACTGTGTTTTCCTCTGACAGCTCTTTCAAGCATTTGATCGGAGGACTGGATGATGTTTCTAATAAAGCATATGAGGATGCAGAAGCTAAAGCCAAGTAAGTGAGATTATTTTCTTTAGATTTCATCCTGATAAGATATTTTGACTGTAAATACAATTAAATATTTTTATAGACTTAACGAAAATGTAACACTCTGATACTAAGAATCTAATTACTTGAGAGGAAAAAGGAAGTAAACTGTTGAAGATAGTGATTACACAGCATGCTTATGTAGTAAATGTGTCTTTTTAAACAAGTTCCTCAATTTTATGATGAAGATCATCTCATCAAAGTAAATGGTCATTTAAAAATTTAATATGAACAAATGAATATAAACATGTAATGTATCCTTTCAAAAAACTTTCTAAACAAAGTGTTTCTGTAATTGCATGAAAATAATAAAGTTGGGCTATTTACCTGGATGAAGTCTTCATTATTTAATATTGAACTTACAAATGTAAGAATTATATGAGATGGTAAGTATCTCATTAATCATCATCTGGCAAAGAAATATAATTCTATTACAAGGATAATTTGCTTTCACACAAAAATTTAATGCTTCACAAAGATTTGAAGTTATTTGAGAGTCACTCTTTCCATAAAATTTACAGGTCACATTAAAAACAAGTAGTCATTGGGCTGGGGATTTAGCTCAGCAACCAATTCCACCACCTGCCTCACAAGTGCAAGTTCCCGAGTTCAATCCTAGATACCAAAATACAAAACAAAACAAAAAACAACAAGTAGTCGCTATAATCCTCCTTTTCCCTCAGTGCAATTTCATATTTTATATCATTCAGGATACCTGAAGGATTAAATTGCTAGAATTTAATTATAGGTAGTTAACATGGGTATATAGTTCCAGGCCATAATTTGATTAAATGGCTTTGTAGTAACCTAAGAATGCAAAGAAATAAAATCATTATTTTGCTTTGAGTATCTATACAAATGAAACATTTTCTAGAGCTAAAATATTAAGAACTCTGCTACATGTTAACCCCGTAAAATTATAATATTTTCAAATTATATGAATATATTCACAATTTCTTCTCTGTATAGTTTGGGTTGGTTTTCTCTAACTTTGGAGAGAGACAAACCAAGAGGTTAAATGTCAGCAGGATTTACTCAGGAAAGGAAACTGGCCATCCCACAGGCTTTGGAATGACCTCTTCTGAGGATGAGTGATATTACCACTTCTGATTTTCTGCATTATATTAAAGTGTAAATCAACAGTTAATTTAGACTGTAATTTCTGGTATTTGTACTAATCCCACTGAGATGGCAGAGGCCCCAATTAAGGTATCATCTCCGTTTTGAAAATTATACAACTCTGTTATTGTTGGGTTTTGTCACTAGAGGAATATTTTCTTTCAATATATAAAAATTCATGTTTGTGTCACAATTTATGTCAACTTATTTTTATGTAGTTTAATATATAGGGGTAGGTGAGTGTATACATATGACAAGGTGGTAATCTTAAAAATGCATCTAAATTATTTAAGTAAGTATTTTGAGAGTTACTAGAAAAAGTCAAAGATCTTTTAGGCTAATGTGTTCTTGCTACTTGGATCTACTTCTTTCCGTTTTGATAGATTCGTTTTTTGGGGTGGGGGGTTGAGACAGGGTCTCCCTATGAAGTTGAGACTGCCCTGGAACTCACTGTATAGCCCAGGCTGGTCTCGAATCTACAGCAATCCTCCCGCCTCAGCCTCCCGAGTGCTGGGATTACAGGCATGCGCCACCACGCCTGGCTGATAGATTCTTTAATGACAGTTTTTATATAACACATATCTACTCACCAAGAGCTAAGGCCACTCGGACTTAAAACTAACCAGTGATGGAAAGGCAAATGTGAATTTGTCATGCTTTTACATGTCTATCAACATTATGAAGATAACTGTGTGCATCTAATAAATTCAGCAACTTGTGTTTTAACTTGCAAATGAAAATAGAAAGGAAAACTAATACACTGAAATTCATATTCAGATAATTAGAAGCAAGATGTGGTAACAATTCACACTGGAAGAGAATATAAAAATATGAATAAGCCTAGTTTTCTGCTGGAGGCTCTGTCACTCCTGAGCAAGTGATGCTGGCTTTTGACTCTCAATACCTGTTTTGAATTTTAGTTGCCTTGTTTTTAAAGTGGAATTTTCAAGGTTTAATTGATGATAGTATAAATCTTTGTAAATTCCAATGAACGATTACAATGGATGCTACAGTTGATAGGACTAATAATTGGAAATATACTTTAGTGCTTTTGCTATATGGTTAAATTTACAGAGACCAATTATTTCATATACAGGATGTGAAGCTGATTTTACCCGGGCAAGCATTCCTTAATCTTATGTTAGCAAAATTTGCTTGCCTGGGTAGCATATCATTGAATTGCACCGAGAGCAGAAAGAAAATCTATTAAAGTTTAATAAAACAACAATATTTAGTTCTGAGAATTCCTTTTTGCTTGAAGAGCAGAGAAGGGGAATGGAATGATTGCCTTCTCCAAGATGCCATCCAATATTTTTATTTGCCCCATAGATTTGATAGATGACAATGTAGCCATTGTTCTTGTGCTTTTCTTCATTTTACTGATAAACAGTTGAAACGTAGAAATCGCACAGTTGCTGGGGATTTAGCTCAGCGGTTCTGCCGCCTGCGTTGCAAGCACAAGGGCCTGAGTTCGATCCCCGGTACAAAAAAAAAACAAAAAAAAAAAAACGCACAGTTGCGATGTAGAACCTGATTGGATAGGTGTCTACATAATCAGATAATTTCATAATCATAACGCATCATGGATACACCCTTTGCCTCTCATAGCTATATACGTGTTTGTGTGTGAGGACAGCATAAAAAATATACTGTCTTATATTTCATCTGGGGCAGCCTTGCTTGAAACTTTCTGTTCAATTCGTACTACATTTAAATGAATGTATAAGTCCCATTCCTTAGTATGTACAATACAGAAATATCTCTAAAATCTTTGATCCAGATTCTGGAGAGACTAATGATATGCATTGAATTCCTCAAAACAGCCACATTAAAAATGAATAAATGATAGCAGAGTTATTGTTATGCCTTTTTCACTGTTTGCATTGTATAGACTTCTAATAAATATTACTATCTGAAGATTTCTGAAGTACAAGTCTTCTCTTAATTAGGTATCCTATAAATCATTCCTCAGGGAAAGCTTTTTAGTTGTCCTAACAAGTTTAAACATCTATTTGTGTTAGCATTGTTGTCTTTATTGAATTTCTTCCCCTTAAGTATATTATACCTTCACTTTGTATTTAGGAGACTTAGAAGATTTGCCTTCATTGAAAAGACTGGGAGCATGCTCTAATTGCTTTAAACTCCCTAGATAATTTTGTTAATGCCTCTAAAGTTCTATATAGATCACAAAAACTGGACCATTTAGCACTTGGGCAATGATTTGGCTCTATTGTAAACCTTATTTTTAAAATCTCCTTGGTTTTACAAAAGCAATGCAGATTAATATTTTAAAAACCACAATAAAATGGGCGTGTTACTTATCCATGTGAAATCATTACCAGAATTATCTCATGGACTGTTCCTGTTTGGGTAGGAAAAGGAAAAACTAGGACTGACTGTAAAGACTGATTCTATTGACACACTTAAAAACTCAAATGTGAGAAACTCACTGGCTATGAGTATGATAGGCTCAGTGATAGGATGGGTCCCCTAATATAGACCATCCTTTTCAGAAAAGACCATGACAAGCACTCAGCCCTGGCAGTTGATCCAGAAAGAGTAGCACTAGAGAAATATTCCATGGAAATAGTTTTAAAAACTCCTTTTCTGCAGTATATGTCTGAGTCTCAGTATTTCTCATAAGACTTATCTTCTACAATTATTCTTTTTTTTTTAGTTTATTGGTACATTTTAGGGATACAGTACAGTTACATTCATTGTTGGGATCTTGTACCTTTACATGACGGGTCTTGGTTCTCATTTTTTCCCCTTGTCCCTGCCCTCCCTTCGCCCCCTCCTGCCTCCCCATTTACAAACACTTTATTTCCATCTTTTCATTTTCTCACATTTTTTCTTTTCCCTTATTACCCTTCCCCTACCCATCCCACCTTCCCTACACTTTTAGCCCTTTTCTTCCCATTACACAATATCAGTTATCTCATTAGGATCTTATGTACTATTACAGTTTATTCACACTAGAGAAACTATTCAGTATTTACACATGTGTGACTTATTTATTTCACTTAGGAGTATATCCTCAATATGTGTCCATTTTCCTATGAATGAATCTAATTTCCCATTCTTTATGGCTGAGTAATATTCCATTTTATAGAAAAAACACATCTTCTTTATCCAGTTTCCAACTGATGGGCAAATGGGCTGTTACCAAGTTTTAGCTATTACAAACTGTGCCGCTATAACCATGGGTGCACATACATCACTGTGATATGATTCTTTTAGTTCGTTTGGAAAGATTCCCAGCAGAGGGAAGCCTGGGTCAAATGGAACCTCTAGTCCCAGCTCTTTGAGGTATCTCCATATTAATTTCCATAGTGGTGGCACCAGTCTGCACTCCCACCAACAATGGAGAAGGGTTCCTTTCTCCCCACAACCCCGCCAACATTTGTTATTGTGTGATTTCTTGATAGCAGCCATTTGTGGGGTGAGGTGGAATCTCAATGGTGTTTTCATCTGCATCTCTCGAATGACCAGTGATATGGATCATTTTTTCATATATTTACTTGCTGCTTTTATTTCTTTGTCTGTGAAATGTCTGTTCATTTCAGATGCCCATTTTTGAATTGGGTCCTTATATTCGGGGGGGCTGATTGTTTTGAGTTCTTTATATATTCTAGATAATAGTCCTTTGTCTGAGGAGCAGCTGGTAAAAATTTTTTCCCACATTGTAGGTTGTCTCTTAGTTCTGTCGATGGTTTCTTTTGCAGTAAAGAAGCTTTTTAATAAGATGAGATCTCAGTTGTTGATTCTTTCTGCTAGTTCCCGGGCTACTGAGGATTTGTTCATAAAGTCTTTTCCTATGCCAGTGTCTTCCAGAGTTCTTCCTAACT